AAAAAAAAAAAAAAAAAAACCTTGCTCATGACATATTTCGTTTTAAAAGAACAAAAGGAGGGGCTCCTGGGGGGCTCAGTCGGTTAAGCATCTCACTTGGACTCAGGTCATAATCTCACAGTTTGTGGGTTCGAGCCCCACATCGGGCTCTGTGCCGACAGAGTGGAACCTGCCTGGGATTCTCTCTCCCTCTGTCTCTGCCCCTCCCTGACTTGTACTTTCTCTCTCAAAAAACTTAAAGAATTTTTTTTAAATCTAGAAAAAATATAAAAGAACAAAAGGAAAATAATGTATTTGTGTGCACACAAATTACACTGCTTTGAGCAGAGATAACAACCTGTCTACAATACTCTGTCCCATTTTTTCCCAACAAGTTCTGTGTCTTATGGAAATATATGCATTTGAAGAACACAACCATTAAATAACAATCACAGAGCACAGTCAAGGCAGCAGGCTCTGGCCTAAACCCCTCCCGGGTGGAGGGTCCATCTGGACGCCTCTGCTCCTGCAGGGCTGGGGACAAAGCTAGCGACAGATCCTGAGTGCCTGTGCCCGGGGGGTGGGCTTCGTTCCTGCATTGACCCAAGTGTCCCCACCCCGGGCTGGCCCCGAGCCCTCAGCCAGCACAATCCCGCACGGGCGGTCATGGTCCCCGGGAAAAAACAGGCCTGCTGACCCTGCCGGGGTGTGATCTCGCGGTAGGGCCACCGGGCGGGGCCCGATGCCGATTCTGCCGCCTCCCACACGGAGGGAGAGCTGGTGGCGCCCCCCACAGACACGGGAGGGGTCCCACTACCTGAAGATGCTGACGAGCAGCTGTAGGGCCACCTGCTGCAGCTGGTAGTTGAGTCCCTGCTGCCAGGCCCGCCTGCGGGCGCGCCCCTCGTTCAGGTCTGTGCTGGCGCCCAGGTGGGCGAGGTCCAGGTCGTGGTGCAGCTGAAGGCTCTGGACCCTGGGAAGGAGCAGAGGGACGCTGAGCACAGCTCACACTCCCTATGGGCAGGGGCGGGGGGGGACACTCAAGGAAGGGGGTTTACCCTCCCCCCCAGGTGCACCAACACTCTTCGGATGCTCAGAAGAGCCGGCAGTAACTTCGGGGAGGGATCACTAAAAATACACCCCCGGAGAGCTCACTCACCTCTGCACACAAGCAGCTCGTTGTTCAGACCCCACGGAGGCCCTGACTGTGCACACTGTTACCCAAGCCGGAGCCTCCCCTCCCCCGGCCCCGCCTGCCAGGGGCACCAGCTCCCCAGCCCCACACCTTCCCCGCGCCCGGCCTGGGGGGATCGGTGCACCAGGGTCCTGGGTGTCACCGCTCTCGGCCCGTGGGCCATCAGCACATTCACAACCCCGGCCTCCCCAGCACCGTCAAGGCCGCAGCGCTGGAAACCAGCGGGCAAATCTGCGGTTTGCACACAAAATGAACACGCCCAATGCACGTTCCCCCCCCCCCCCCCCCC